TCAAGCAGTTTAATCCGGCTAACAAATGAGTTACTGAAACAAGAAGTTTTAATGTGCTCCTGCGTAATAAATGAACAAGGTTTTGTGAATGATCCATCAGTGTCAGGATGTAATGATGACGTTAGATTTATTATTACTTTATGTCGTGTGTCATATTGTGATCTTAAGCTTTTTAAACACTGATTTATTATAGTCAAGATTTGGAAGTTTGCTTGAAGAGGTATGTACTTACGCTGTCATCTTGGAAATTCGTGGATTATAAAATTAGCTTTATACAATATCTTATTATGAATGTTTAGAGATGTACCGATAACAATGTTTGCTAATGAGTTGTTTTATCAAACTAAGAAAAATACGAACCCAATAAAATAGAGGAAACTTTTTTGAATAAGAATTGAATAAGGAGTTACCTAAGTTTTATTTGTTGTTAATGTAGCGAGCGAACGTTATCTGCCCTTGTAGTTCTCGCGTGACGCTCTGCCGTGAATTCACCTTATATTCTCTAGGTTATGACTTCTTTTAAAATATTATTAAACCTTATCGACCTAGTCTACCTAGAAGCAATATTAGACGTCGCTAGTTCTTTGGGAGAAGAGCTAGATAGCGCAGTGGTTGGCTCGCTCGGCCTTCGATATGTTGTTAAGCAACTTTCGTAATCGCCGGTCACAGGATGGGTAACCAAAAATTAATTATCTCGAGCTCCTCTGTGCTTCGGAAGGCACGTTAAGCCGTTAGTCTGGTTGTATCTGGAGTCGTTAACATCCATCAATCCGCACTGAGCTCTCGTGATGGCTCTTGGCCCGTTCTCCCTCATCATCATCATCATCACTTCAGCCGAGAGACGCTCACTGCTAGGCATAGGCCTCCCCCAAAGATTTCCAAAGCGATCGGTCCTGCGCCTCCCGCATCCAGCGGCTTCCCGCGACCTTTACCAGATCGTCGGTCCACCTTGTGGGGGGCCTACCAACACTGCGTCTCCCGGTACGCGGTCGCCACTCCAGGACCTTACCGCCCCAACGGCCGTCAGTCCTGCGAGCGATGTGCCCTGCCCATTGCCACTTGAGGTTCGCAATTCTTTGGGCTATGTCGGTGACTTTCGTTCTTCTGCGGATCTCATCGTTTCTGATTCGATCTCGCAAAGAAACCCCGAGCATAGCCCTTTCCATTGCCCTCTGGGCGACTTTGAGCTTCCTTATGAGGCCCATCGTAAGCGGCCACGTCTCAGTACCGTATGTCATCACTGGCAACACGCACGAATTAAAGACTTTCGTCTTGAGACACTGCGATAGATGTTCCGAGAAAACACTGCGTAGCTTCCCGAACGCTGCCCAGCCGAGTTGGATCCGTCGATTTACCTCTCTCTGGAAGTTGGACTTACCTAATCAGACTATTTGTCCCAGGTAAACGTACTCGTACCCGTTCTCCCTATTCTATTTGATTCCATCCATAGGGAAGGCCTGTGTCCCAGCAATGCCACAGTATTGAAACAATAAAAATTTCAATTGTCAGACCTTTTCCGATAATATGTCTCTATTATAGGTATTTATCTATAAACAACATTAAGAAGCTCATGAATCCGTTTAGCAATATATACATCGCAATATGTAAATCGGTGGGAATATTAAAATTCAACATTTGTCGGTTGAGCGGCGGTCTCGCACGGTATAGGGTTAAAATTCAACCAGTTTTCACACATTATTTTACAAAAAATCAAGATACTGCAACGTAAATAAAGCATTCTACGATAGTTTTAATGGATCACTCAATCCTGTGATTGACAAAAAATTAAAAAACAAATATCTCGTGAATAAAACGACGTTCACAAATAAATTATATGCCAAATTTATTTGTGAACGTTGTTGTACAAATTTTCAACGTATTTTGTATAATACATATTATTTGTGATAATACATTGTATTTGTGATAATACATATTATTTTGGTAATGACATGATTTATGTTAATGTCATAACTTATGATAAAAAGCTGGTAAGTTTCTTTCGCTTGTTCTTCTTGTCAGCCAAAAGACGTCCTCCGACTATTCAAAAGTGCTTGTAATAGCCTACTTGAATTAAAATATTTTCATTTTGTTTTCATTTCGTTTTCATGTCGTTTTCATTTCGATTTCATTTCGTTTTCATTTCGTTTTCATGTGGTTTTCATTTCGATTTCATTTCGTTTTCATTTCGTTATCATTTCATTTTCATTTCACTTCATTTATATTACATAATACCAAGGGGTTGTTATATGCGTTTAAAAGGATCACTCAATCCAGCAAATTTAAAAAGCTTTGATTGGGCATAACTTTTTAACTATAAACATTTGTGGTGTGAAATTAATTTGTACAAATATATTTAAAAGTTCCTTTAAAGTAAAAAAAAATTATCATGTATTTTGTAAGCATATTGCCGTATTTCAGAATCACTATTCACAGAAATATATTTTGTAAGCATATTGCCGTAATTCAGATGGAGTACCTCCATACTATAATTGTTACCAGTGTTTTATATTTTTAATGATATTTTTCTTTAAATTAATTTTATCAAAACGTAAAAAGGAATTAAGTGCATCGGTTAAACATGCGAAAGAGAGACAGTTTATTTAGTAAACTGTTACATAATTATATCAGCCACGAAAAGCTGAATCATACGCGGGCAATATAGGCTATAATTAAAGAGGGCGAAGTCGCGGAAAACTAGAATAAATATAAAAAAAAGCACAGATACAAGCTTCGCCCGCGTGGTCTTGTATAAGCGTCCTCTTGAATTTCGAATTGTATATTAATAAAAACAATGTTAATACTCATTATGTAGCTCAAAAGACCTCAGCGTACGAAACGACTGCATTTTATACTTTGTATAGATATTAAATTGTTTAAGACGGGAAATATAGGTAGGTGAAAAACCTAACTATCGAAATCTATCTCGTTTATTTCGGTAGTTAGGTTTTTCACCTACCTATTATTAAAATTTTGAATATAACCTGGTAATTTTTAGGAATATAATTTATTAACTTTCAATTTTCACTCAGCTTTCATATTAACTTTCATATACAATATTCTCATTTCTAATTATATTTTGTTCATCCAAATTAATGACACGCTTCAAACAAAATTTTAATGTATATGTTTTGTACACAACTGTAGTGTACTGCGTGTACGTTGCTACGTTGTTATCTATATAAGCAATGAAACTTCTAATTTAGTAAACTATATATATTTACATGTATAAAAAAAGTTACAATAAAACTATACAATAAAAAAATTAAAACAGATTATATAACACAAATATTACCACCAACATATTACCAACACAAATAAATTCGAGTAGAACCGGTGTGAGCATGGTGATCAGTTATCACCTTGACTGCGCCATCAGATTTGTAGTTGAGGGGTAACGTGCTATTGCGTAGGATTATATAGTTATCAATATGAGGCAGTCAAGGTGTAAGGCAACATAAATCTATTTACAATATTAACTATGTCATGTAAACTTACTAAAAACACAATACGTTATTTACAAAATATGTACAACTTACCCGATTACGGGGATTAACTAAGTGCGTAGTTAATTTATAGTAGTGAAGTATTAATTTCAAAATATTTAATTATAGCTTTAATGCATAGCTTATTAAACAATTTTTCAGTTTTGTACAATCAACCAAGTGGTTTTAAGTAAGCAGACGCTAGCTGACAAGAGTGCGATGTCGTTCCTTTTTTAAAAGTCGCGCGGTTTCGGCGGGAGCTCGAAGCGCGGCCAACTAGATTTCATGTTCTTTTTTTTTATTAGAGTGCGTTTTGAATTTGCTAGTTTTTTATTACGTTTTGTTTTTGTATATTTAAGTTATTTACTATTGATATGTAGTTTCATTTTTATATGTCTTTATTTATGTATTTAATAGTTATATATAAGGTTTTAAAATAATTTGTTATTAGTGTCACGCTATACGTGACAACGTTTCTATTACACTGGTTCCGTATGGAATTTGATAATAATTTTATTGAAACGGAAAATAATTTACATTTAATCAGAACATATTCTGATTGGTTTTGTTTTTAATGTCTATAAAGAATTATTATTATTAGATATATGTCTGAATAAAGGAACTCGATGGCACACTGGTTAGCGCTTTCAGTCTGCAATGTAAATGTTAAGCAACTGCCACAAGGCAGGCGTAGGATGAGTGACCAAAAATATATTATCTCAAGCTCCTGTTTGAAATCCACCAATCCATTGAATTGAAATGGTGGGTTTATAGCCAGTTCTCCCTATATCGATCCATCCTTTATTAGGCGTAGACCTTCCACGCCTAATAAAGTATTAATAATCAAAAATCTATGAAAACTTTTTACAAATTTCATTACGTTTATTCTTAAATAAAGAAGCTTAAAAAATTCGTCAGTCCTGTTAGGTCCTGGGTCACTCAGTGGTTGGAGTAGTCGCCTGTATTGCGAAAGGTCAAGGGTTTGAGTCCCATCTCAGAGTGCCAGGACCAAAGTGGATTTTTTAAGCATTTTTCATTAAGAATATTTTTCAGTATATCATTGTGAATGCAAAATTAATGAAATATAATAGTAATTAAATATTAAATATTCTCCAGGTTCATGATAATTTGTTATTCATTACATTCGTAGGCTTTCATTCACAGATCATTAGCGACTGCGCATGTATCGCTATCTCCCTCTACAATAGTATTTTTTATCAGTCATGCTCTTTGATCAGAGTGGTCATTATTTATTACATACTGCCCGCAGTAACGCGTTGACACGGAAACGCGATGGACGTTTCTGTGTCATTATTTTCTTTTTTAAATACTATTACGATATTAATGATTGCTAGCTTAATGTGTAATATTATTTAAAATAGTAACGTTGTTATTCAAAAGGTCAAAAAACAAATACCGTTATAAGTGATGTAAGTGACAATTGTAATAAAAGATAAAAAAAACTATCTTATCTGCAAAGATTACTACAACGATTTTCAAGATAACCAATGTTGAGGAATGCGTATGATCAACACCAGTTATGATATTATGAGAAAAAGAATGAAGCACGGGAAAAGAATTGTTTTATTTACATTATTTGCAATGAACTTGATCGATCAGCCGGCGCCCTACGTAAAAATCGAGCAAGGGACTTTGAGCGGTAAAATAAGTAGCGATGGGTCGTTTTTTGAATATCTTGGCATACCTTATGCGACTAGTAATAGAGAAACAAGGTTCAAGGTGAGCTTCATTACTATTACTATTACTTAATTGTGCCGATTATGTTTAAACGTCATTTAAAAAGTTACTTGTGTTTATAACTAGCATGTATATTGAATTAATTCAACTATTATCTTTAACATACATATTGTCAAATAGTAATTTGTCTTCTTTATTGTTTATCAAGCTGACGCTTAGTTTGAGATTACCAAGTTCATGCAATAGTACTGCATATTTATGTGCAAACTACACATATAGTAAAAATAAAAATAAATGTTGAAGCAAAATACACGAAGCCTGTAAAATGTGTTTGATTTAAAAATGTAAGTTTAAATTACCCTTAATGATATTACAAAAGAGTTTAATTAAATAATTTCATATTGATTATATTGAGTAGATTTAATTTAAATAATTTTACCTACCTAAATATTTTTTATTGACAGGCACCCCTTCCTCCTCCAAAATGGAATGGTGTTTATAAAGCAATAGACGAAATGTACGGATGCCCACAACCGTTCCTATTGAATATAGTTTCTGGTACAGAGGATTGTTTGAAAGCAAACGTTTATGTACCAGCTAAGTCCAAAGGACCACTTCCAGTTATGGTGTATATACATGGAGGAGCATTTTTTTTGGGAAGTGGAGGAAAACTGTTATACGGGCCAGAGTTTATAGTCAAAAATGATGTTATATTAGTTACCTTTAACTACAGACTAGGTGCTTTGGGTTTTATATGTTTGGGTACTGAAGAAGCACCTGGCAATGCTGGCTTGAAGGATCAAATAGCTGCATTGAGATGGGTGAAAAACAATATTGCTGCTTTCGGAGGCGATCCAAATAATGTTACTATATTTGGAGAAAGTGCAGGTAGCGTATCTGTTTCTATACTTCTATTAAGTAAAGCGACATTAGGATTGTTCAACAGAGCCATATTACAAAGCGGATCTTCTTTATCAAACTGGGCCATAAACAGGAAACCAGTTTGGATAGCTAGTCTCTTAGTAAAAGATCTGGGATACGATACCGAAGATCCAAAAGAAATATATGATATTCTTTATAATCTACCTTATCAAGATCTAATTAAACTGAAACCAGTTAAGCCGCTCGGCATGTTCTTTGATACATTATTACTTCATCTACCCTGTATCGAAAAACCTGATATACCTGGTAATGAACCAGTATTGACAGATTTGCCATATAATCTGCTTATTAATAACCCAAGAAATGTTTCTGTTATTCACGGTAGTACAAGCAGAGAAGGATTACTATTAACACCTGGTGAAACGGAAGCTATTCTTGAAGAAAGAAACCAAAGATATTTCTTCGCTTCAGACTTAATATTTAAGTCTGATGACGAAGCAAATAAAACGTCGTCTAAAATTAAAGAGTTTTATTTCGGTAATGAGCGTTTGAGTCGTAACAATATATTGAAATTGGAAAAAATGTACACAGAGTTGTATCTCCAATTTCCGACCGCTTTAGAAGCAGATATTTTAGTATCTTCTTGGAACATACCTGTTTATAGCTACTTTTTTAATTATTCGGGAGGTAGAAATGCTTTAAAGAGTAGAGCTGGTAGTGGTAACGAAACAGGGGCGTGCCATGCTGACGATATTTTCTACCTTTTCAATGCCAGACTATGGCCATTCTCAACAAGCAAAAAGGATGAAGAATTCATTGAATTGCTAACTCGAATGTGGACTAATTTCGCTAAATATGGGTACGTATATTTTTATATTTCAATGAAGATAATAGGTTTGTAAGAACAAAACACTAAATATGCAACAAATTTATTTAATTACTGAACCTTTTTTAAACTAAATATTAAAAACTAAATATATGTCCAAAAAATGTATATAGGTAAGTTCAAATACTAAGTATCTAAAGTATAAGGGGTGTTATAGTTTTCTGAAACAACGTAATAACCTCATCACAAATATTTATTTTCTATATTGACTCGATTGAGAATCAAGCCCAAGACCTCAGCTACTAAGATGAGCAACTCACTTTGCATGGGTCATAAAAAAGCAGTTAAAGAATACTTAATCATTATTCAATTAAAAATATGATAGGTAAATAGAAAACGTTTGATATAACATTTAACCTACCTACAGAAAAAGGAGTCACATGATTTTTTTGGTTATTGAGATTCATCATCATCGGCCCTTTTACATCCCCACTGCTGGCCTGCCTTGTGGATTGTTAAGGAGGATGTGCCACGAACCTCCATGCTGGTCCAATATTATTAACGACTGCAAATACAGCCGGAACGGCTTACCCTGCATTCCGAAGCGCGGAGTAGTTTGAGATAATATTTTTGGCCACCCATCCCGTGACCAACCCTTGCGAAAGTTGCTTCACAACAACGATCGCGGTCCGCGGAACTTATCCACTACGCCACCGAACTAAGATTAGAGATTAATTATTGAGATTAGTTAGGTATTATTTAAATCTATGTAAAGTGACTTCATAGTTCATAGTATAACGAGAAGTGACTTCATAGTCTAATAAAGGCACTTTTCAATAAGACATCTTTGTGTAAAATAAAAAAGGGAGAAAAAGGCAGCCCTTGCTGAGTTTATGTGCAAAGCCTAGACATAATATACGATTTTGATTTGATTAAATTTGATATAATAGATTACTTTGTATCTATACATTTACAGAGATCCTACTCCACTGCAGGATTCTCGAGTTCCAGTGAAATGGCCTCCGGGTGAAAAGGACGTTCTAAAATATTTGTACATCGATGATGTGTTTCGAATAGGACCAATGCCTAATCCAGACTCGTACGTCTTATGGAAAGATGTATATGATAAATATAGGCGAATGGATTTAAATTATTATTATTGATTATAAAATATTAAATAACATTGCAATAATTCATTTTATATCCTGCTTTAATTTTAAAATCGGGCGGGCAGCCATACAAAAAAAAATGAGTGATTGGGTTACTGATTTTATTTGTATGTCTAAATATACAAAGACATGTGAATTCTGCATCACAAGAAAAGTGAAGATGTGTCTGTATCAAATTCTTGGTTATAAAGTGACTTATCTATATTACTTCTAAGTAATATACGTATATATTTGTTGGCATTGAATAAGCTCCGAAAATACTTCACCGATTTTTAAAATTCTTATAAGTAGAACAAAAAACAGCTAGTACCATATATTTTTATAAAAGTTAACTTAAAATATACGAATAAGAGAACACAGTGAATGTAGTTATTTTTTTATTTTTTTAGCGAGAATAATTCATATATTTTTTTTATTAATATGACGTAAATTGTTTATTACAGTTCTTTTGAACATTATTTCTTCTGTTTACAAAAAAAATTATCACTGGGAGTGAACTTTTTTAGTAATAGTATTTCAAATAAGCACTAAGATATATATTTTTTCAATTAAACATTCGAAATATTTAAGTTTCACAGTGTAGGTAGATATTGTGAGGTTTAGTTTTAGTATTACTAGTTTGAATAGCTGCTTATAATTAGGTACGCTAGTGTTGCTATTTTTTAACCATTAGAAGTACAGTAAATAATTATGGAAAAAATCAATAAAGTAACCTCTCAAATATAGCAATATTTTGAATGCACTTTCATATTTTTACCCGTTCGCTTGTTAACCCTCCCGACATGGACGACGTGACGGACCAAGGAGCACTCGGGGCGACCAAAATTTGCCCGAATAAATTATGCGGACGAAAACTGTTTGAATTTTAACCCTATACCGCGCGTGACCGCCGCCCAACCGACAAACGTTGAATTTTAATATTCCCACCGATTTACATACGACAATGTATCGTTTGCTTGATAAAAATAAGTCCCGGTGGAATAGGATTATTGCTAAACGCATTCATGAGATGCTTATTCTAAAATCGCTCGTACCTGCACGTATAGCATAACAAACTCGAGAAACTCTTTGTCTACACCCAAATGTCACTTTCGCGGATCGAGAGTGAGATGCTGTATGGACCGCACCCGAGAAAAGTGACAATTGAGTGTAGACAAAAAGTTGTCCATCATCATCCTACTTAACCATCCATAATGAAGGCCTGAGCCCCCTGGGACGTAAAAGGGCTGGTGATGATGATGAAAACGTAGTCGAGTTCGTCATGCTACGCATGCTAAATAAGTTCTGACAGCTACGATTATTATTAGAATGAAATATCACTTCTCATCAGGTATATTGCAGCCACAATAAAAAAACCTACAGTTAATTTGGACTTTTTTTTTCCTTTTCAATCAATTCCATAAATTACAATATTTTGTAACAGTTAGTGCACTATAAATATCATACTAGATTTTCTTAAAAAAAAAATCCTCTGAGGTAGTAGCACCTAATAAGTTCAAAAGTTTACGAAGGCCCAAATGCACAAGTCACTTGCAATCCCGTTTACAATTGACTAGCAGTAACATAGGAATCCAAATGCAAAGTATATTGGTTGACTTTTACTACTTTTATTTTGTATAAATAGTGGAAAATCTCAAGCTGTACTAATTTAAAAACATTAACAAAAGAGTAAGTGATTTTGAAATTTCAAAGACAATAATCATTTTAATTAGAATTTTATGTTGCTTAACAAAAGAAACAAATAACAATCGCAGCTGTTGCAAACACGACACGAGCCACTTCAGCACGTGCGGCTCTCGTGCCGTTTTTAAAAACGTCAAAACTAGTTTCATTTGGTCTGTCTGCCCACCGAAACTCGCCGCTCGAGAGGCAATATTCATGCAATTAAACAACTGAGTAATTACGAATGAGGCAGACATTAAGTAGTGCTGAGCTCACATGTTTTCGGTTTGTTACTTTGTGGCATTTTTAAGCTTTTTGTTCAAATAGTTGAAATTACAAGCAAGGTGACTGCGTGGTTCATTCAAATTGTTTTACTAAAACAAATATTATTATTAGTAAATATTCTCTGATACTGCAGATTCTCTTTTCCCAAATATTTTTATATTATTAACATTTTTTTAATATTAATTTGAAATTAAGACATCTTTTAGACACAACTGATTTCTAAGAGGGGATTATAAGACTCAAACAGTCTCGATAGGTCGACGACAGAGTCCAGTAATTTGCATGGCAAACGAAAAGGCTTGTTCAGTTTTTATCCATCAGTTTTACCTACAGCTACTGTAAAGGCTTTAAGATACTTCTACTTTAAGTAATATTTCATATTATAACATATTTTCCGAATGATTTCCACAGCAAAGTTTAAGTTAAAAGAATTATGGAAGATAAGTTATAAAATATGTACCTTAAACTTAACAAATTTCGTAATTTAGTACTTCATTTTTATACATACTCCTTAATCATTTATATAAATAATATTACGATTTAACGTAAAATATTATGAGTAGAAAATTAATGGTCTTATATTATATTAATCTAATGGAATGTTCAATATCTGATATTCAACTCTATTATTTTATTAATAAATATCATTTATAACCGTAGCGCACTCTTATTAACAAAAATGCTATTTACATACAATATTTAAAAAAAACAAAATGATTTATATTCTTTGAACAATATATTTACATATTTATATTAGGTCAATAATAGAAAATATTCTCGAGGCCCGCGGAAATTTTTTATAAGTTCATTACGTAGACCATTTTATTCGTTGAACATTAGCGATTACGCATGTATTACTATTTACCTCCATGTATTTTTAGGATTTAGATACTCCGAAATTTATTTGACGTAACACATCGTTATAATCATATCTTGATGAGTACTTAAACGACATTAAAAACTATTTGGTTATTATATGCAGTTAGTAATACTTAAAAGGCAAAAATCCAAAACGTGTCAAGCGGTTTTAAGCGAACGTATGCGCGCGCTTTTGTGGCCTCCGAGCGCCATTACATTGTAATTACCTTCCTTTAAAAACGTATTTTTAAAAACATATGGATATTGATGATAAATTGATCTCTGCCTTTAAAATTCATTATAATTGAAAAACATGTGATGCACTCAAAACGTATGCTTAAAACGATTTTGACTTTCAAGTTTTTTTTTGTATGTTGTAGTTGTATTCACTCATATCAACAATATTATGACAATGACTGACAGAACAATGAGTATCATCATACATAAAATCATATGGTTCAAATTAAACAACGGTTCTAGTCAGTAAAGAAGTAATTACCGTAAGAGATAGACAACTCAAGTTCCAAAGAATAAATATTATGTATGGCCACAACAAAACTAAAGAGAAAAATGAAGTATGGAAAAAGGATCGTTTTATTTACATTGTTTGCAATGAACTTAGTCGAGCAGCCGACGCCGTACATAACCATCGAGCAAGGTACTTTGAGCGGTAGAATAAGTGAAGATGGATCAATTTTCGAATACATGGGTATACCTTATGCGACTTCTAATATAAAAACAAGATTCAAGGTAAGCTTAATTTTCATTTATGATTAATATTAGATTCAGAAGCGTGAAACAGTGGGTAACGCTTTCGATTGATGAAGCGACAGCCTCTAGATGAATCGAGGTCCTTCGGTACTCGATAAAGCTCTAGATACATTCAAGCCACTGCCCATCGAATTATTGTTCCCTCTTTGACTATAATTGTTTATGTTTGTGCTCCTAATAAGTTCACAATGTTTTAATATATATATATGTATATAAAAAAAGTTAATACCGAAATGTTTCAGTTTATGGCAACTATATTTAATTAATTAGAAATATTTTTATTTTATTAGAACCATTACTGTTTTGATAATTTTTTTATTTATAAAACTACAAATTTGCAACTTTGCACAAATTTGCAAAATTTGCAACTACAAATTTTATCTTAATATTAGCTGTGCCCGCGACTTGTCTGCGTGGGAAGTATTTTGGTAGAATTATTTTTTTCCTATGAATGGAGTCGAATCGAATAAGATCAATGGGCCATAACCCACTATGCGGGCTTAATGCGGATCGGTGGGTGTTAACGTTGCTGATGCAGCCAGGACTAACAGCTTAACGTGCATTGTGCCAGTGTTGTGAACAGTACTCAAGATAATAATGTTTTGGTCACCCATCCTGTGAACGGTCCTTACGAATGTTATTTTTCTATCTTTTTCTCGCACTCTGGTTTTCGCTTGTGTCAGAGCATTATATTCGTACCTTTAAACTTTCCTTCTTTTGTTTTTGATATTTAATTATTATTATTTCTCTAGTTGTATGCACAATCGGCTATTTATTGTTCTATTTTCCATGTAATGTTAGGTTGCCTGGAAGAAATCGCTGGCTAACGATGAGTTTGTCGTTTGTACTTAGTTATGTAAAATTGATGATTAAACGAACTTACCTAAGTGAAGTTCGATCATAATTATACGAAGTGCCTCGTCCGAAGAGATTAGTATACTTACTTATTATTTTTTGTAATTATAAACACTATGTAGTAACGCCTAAGTGTTGCCACATTCAGCACTATGTTCAGGAGATTGTGTCATTTACCGTCTAAATATATATATTAGACTGAAAATGACTGTCTATTCTTTAACTTCCGGTTAAATGCAATTTTTTTTTTATTATTTTTTTTTTTTTATAGTTGGTAACATTGACTTCCCGCCAAAGCCACCCCACCCGCCAACTGACAACCCCAGTGCCCTCATTTAGTTGAGAGAAAATAAATATTTCCCTAGTTAGGGGGAACTATTTGAAGCAAATAATGTGTTGGGAGGGAGGGATTGCATACTAATCTCTTCGGACGAAGCACTTCGTATAATTATGATCGAACTTCACTTAGGTAAGTTCGTTTAATCATCAATTATACTCGTGCCTCGTCCTCGAGATTAGTATACTTACTTATTATTTTTTTGTAATTATAAACACTATGTAGATATTGAGAGATAGGAAATATTTATTTATTATAATGAATAAGGTAACTATATAAGTATATAATGATTTATTGTACTTTATATAATTCCAACGCAAGTATAAATTATTTTTACTTTCTTCTATAATCATTATTCAATTAAGAGCAAATTGTTATAAATCCATAGTTCTTGCTAGAGCAGAAAAATCATTGTTACTTAAAATAGGTCGATTATAATGCTTTGCAAAGACACTGGAATTGCCGCTCCAACCTGCTGTTTTCCTTATTAAGTCTATGTTAACCCCGTTGTGGTAGGCAGATGATGTTGCTGCATGGCGGGTGCTATGAGCAGAAAAAATGGATACGTCAATTCCACTGTCTTTCATAGTGGATTTAATCCATCTGCTGATTGTTTGAGAGGAAACAGACTTGTGAGGAGTTCTAAAACTTATAAATAGGTTATTGTTAGAATCTCTTATGTCTTTAGTTACATTCACATATGAAGTTAACGTGGCTGCAGGGCATATAGAAACTTTGTTTTTAAAATAAGGTAAGTGTAAAGCTGGTTGAAGACATCCAGCTTTAGAAGTTTTAATTAATTCTGGAATTTTTATGATTAGTTGATCCTTTAAATAAATTATATTATTAATTTTAATTTTTGACAATGTTTGTACTCTATGTGCAGTGACGATACCTATAAGTGTAACACATTTCTTTGATAATCTTTCTAAGGATATTTCATTGTGAGGGTACATTGTGGACAAATAATTTAATAAAATATTTACATCCCAGGTTATATTGTATCGGGGTAAGGAAGGTCTTAGTTTGTATACGCCCTTACAAAATCTTTTAATCAAATCATCTTCTATTGGTCCGGTTAAAATTGATATTGCCGATCTATAACAATTTATTGTTTGATATTGACTACCGGTATTGAATGTATTCGTAAGAAATCTGATTATTGATGGAACGGGTGGGTTATACATATCAATATCGTTTTCTGTACAATAATTATACCATTTTCGTAAGCATGAATCGTATTGTTTCATGGTATTATTTGATAGAGATGCTAACATTATCTCAACAGACTCTAATGGTACCTTTCTTAGCAGGAGCCCCGTGCGGATAAGATAGCGGCCTCCAGGGTAAGGTTGTGATGTATGCTTCTGGAATGAGACACAGTGAAATGTTGCGGACGTAATTGTAGTACTTTTGACACAACTAGGCGGCGAAATAGTGGATACCATGGTTGTGTGGGCCACGTTGGTACAACCATGATGACTGTACCGTCATCTGATATAATCTTTCTCAGGGTTTTTAAAATTATTGCAACTGGTGGAAAGGCGTAAAAGAAGCAGTTGGCCCACGTAAAAGTAAAGGCATCAATGGCGTATGCATCTGGGTCGCGATTCCATGAAGCATAAACTTCACATTTTTTATTAAGTCTATTTGCAAATAAATCAATTTGAGGGTAACTAAGATTTTTTGTTATTTGATCAAAACCTGTCACAGTAAGTTCCCATTCAATATCGGGATGTGAACGTCTCGATTCGCGGTCAGCAATAACATTTTCGGATGATTTAATATACGCAGCGTTTAAGGTTATACAGCGACATTCACACCACTGCCAAATATTTCTCGTTATGCTATTAAGATTAGGGTATTGTATCCCACCCATACGATTTATATAGCTCACGGCGGTAGTGTTATCGACACGTAGGAGTATTTGACAGTCTGAACAGTATTTAGCGAATACTTTTAAAGCAAAAAATGCAGCTAATAATTCTAAGTAATTAATATGTAAAAGTTGTTCCGATTCTGACCACCGGCCACTAGCAGTTTGACCATTACAAGCCGCTCCCCATCCCGTTGTTGATGCATCAGAATAAATTTCTAAGATATAATTATCATTCTTTATCTTTTTTACACCATCCTTTACCATATTTAACCACCATTCTAAATCAGAGTGTAAGGAAAAAGGAATAATCATATTTCTGTCATAATCATCATGCCCCTTTAAGTTTAAGTATTTTCAACGTTCAAGTTCTTTAGTATATAACCATCCATATTCGATTGCTGGACAAGAAGAAACTAACAATCCTATTAATTGTGCAAACTTGCGAATTTTGCATTTTTGCAATTGTTTTATTTCTAAAATATCTTTTATAATTCTATTTCGTTTTTCTCGAGGTAAAGATATATGCCATTTATATGAATCAATTTCAAAACCTAAATATTTGCTATGCATGGATGGAATCGAATTACTTTTTTCTTTATTTATCAAAAAACCTAAAGATTGTAATAACCCTTTTGTAGCATTAACATTTTCTAAACACTCCGAATATGTCGATTCGGTTAAAAATAAATCGTCGAGATATATCGACGATAAGTATCCACAAGATCTTAATAATTTTACTACAGGCTTCATAAGTTTTGTGAAAACATAAGGGGCTGTACTCAACCCAAATGGTAGAACATTAAATTCATACATTTGTTTACTGTTTAGATCATTTTTATCCATAATAATGAACCTCAAATATTTCTTTGAATTAGGGTGAATGTTAATTAAAAAGTATGCATCTTTAAGGTCTAGGGTTGTCATGAAACAATTTCTTGAGATTAATTTTAGAACTGTTCGCAAGTCCTCTAATTTGAAGTGATTAACCCTAATAAATCTATTTAAGTTTTTTAAATTTAGAATGAATCTCAGCTTTCCATTAGGTTTAGGTACTAAAAAAACCCGTGAAACATATTGATCATTACAAGGTGCACAGGCGGAGATAGCTCCAATTGAAAGTAAATGTTGAATTGATTCAAGATACTGCCGTTTTTCTAAACAAGAACCGATATCTGTGATTGGTGGGTTTTGCTGAAAAACCCGTTTATCAAACGGAATCTCATAACCATGAATCCATGAGAGTACTGATTGGTCCTCGGTGATGAGCGACCATTGTTTGAAAAAATGTCGTAATCTGCCTGCATAACGTACCTTGTCTGCACCTAACGCCTCCTTGTCTGTCTGGGCCGATAAGATGATGCCGTTGAGGGCTGACCGCGCACACTCGATGTGGGTGGTAACGACGGAGGAGTTGGTGGCAGGTAGCTCGACATCGGACGTGTTGTGGTGGACGGCTGGTGGTGGTAGCGCTGAGGACCCGGCGCCGCCCTGCGACTCCCGGGACCCGGCTTTTGGTTTAAATTCCTGCTCTGTTTTGGTCTCCTTCTAATTTCTACTTTTAAGTCAATGGACGATCTCGAAACAGCTTTTGCAGTCTTAATGGTTTCCGCCAAATCTTGTCCGAACAAAAATCGGTCAATTTTAGTATTGTTTAATTGTTCTTTTAAATCTTTTTTTAAAGAATAGAGTGCATAAGCACGACGTGCCTTTGATTGCATATGCTGGACATCGCACAAGATACGACTGGCGTCCATTAGGCTCTTTAATAATTCACTATCCCTTCCGCTGCTCGAAATTTGCGTACTCATTATATTACCAAGACATGTGATTGCGGCTGCGATTTGTTTTTGATTAATCTCTATCGATCTATCCCGTTTAACAATATAGTCTGGAGTAGCCGCCTTGATCTCAGGATTTAGTATGGGAGCTGATAAATCTTTGCAATTTGATGGGGTCAGGTATTTTTGTAATAACTCTCTTCTATTATCCTTGTCAAGACCATGGGTGGCGATAAAGTTTAGCCGACTTGCTAGTTCGTGATTGATATTTGGACCGTATTCCTCAATGTTTGAGGGGTCCGTGCCTAATATATCTAGTAAATCGGAATCTAAACCTGGTTCTGAATTAGCCGGGGCAATTTCGTCGAAAGTATCATCTTTTTCAACGATCGTAGGTTCTTCAATAACTCCTGCTGATGACGTTTTGTCTTCCAGAAAGGTTGGCTCCGGTATGGTTGGTATTTGGGCAGTGGCTGGCTCTGTTATCGTAGCCGGTGAAATGTCATTGTGACCTAAAACAAAGGTTAACTCGTATAACTTTATGTTATAACCTACACGCCAATATTTGGTAAGATATGACCACCTCGGGTGGATCACGAATGATATCTCCGTGTTCATGTTATTGAATTGAGCATCATGGATGCTAATGGTTTGGGCACCATGGATGCCAAATGTATTAAATACATTCCTTGAAAGTTATTACTTTCGCATCAGTCAGGAAGACTGGTATGAGTATTGACTATATGATCGCCTTGGGCGCATAAAATTTACCTCGTTCAGATAATGGTGAGTATGGCGGCGGAGTAGGTGATGCGTTTCTCGAACTTGATGTAGACGAACTTTCCGAACTTTCAGAAGATCCAGATGAAAGCTTTAGTTGACGATGACGATTTGAGACTTTTAATTTTTTCTCTAATTTCTTAATTTTATTGGCTAAATATTGAAAAGCATCATTACGCTTTCTTTTAGGCATCTTGTTAATACGTGCGAAGTGGCTGAGCACTAAAAGGCGAATGAGGGCACTGGGGTTGTCAGTTGGCGGGTGGGGTGGCTTTGGCGGGAAGTCAATGTTACCAACTATAAAAAAAAAAAAAATAATAAAAAAAAAAAAATTGCATTTAACCGGAAGTTAAAGAATAGACAGTCATTTTCAGTCTAATATATATATTTAGACGGTAAATGACACAATCTCCTGAACATAGTGCTGAATGTGGCAACACTTAGGCGTTACTACATAGTGTTTATAATTACAAAAAATAATAAGTAAGTATACTAATCTCGAGGACGAGGCACGAGTATAATAGGTATTCACGTATGACGTTGTTATGCAGTATTTACTTACTTATTTAACTGTAATTAAAACCGAACACGCTAACTCACTACGCCATCGGACCTCTTATACCTAAGCTTTACTAATATTATAAAGAGGTTGATCACATTACCCATATATATTATCTAAATTTTATGTTTATTATTTTTATTGACAGGCACCTCTTCCTCCTCCGAAATGGGAAGGTATTTACAAAGCAATAGATGAAATGTACGTGTGTCCACAACCATTTCTACTTAATACAATCGTTGGTAAAGAAGACTGTTTGAAACTACACATTTATGTACCAGCAAAGACCAAAGGTCCACTTCCAGTGATGGTCTATATACACGGAGGAGCATTTTACTTAGGAAATGCAGGAAAACATTTTTACGGTCCAGAATTTTTAGTCAAGCACGATATTATACTCGTTATTATTAACTATCGACTAGGAATTTTGGGTTTTACTTGTTTGGGTATAGAAGAAGCACCTGGTAATGCTGGTTTGAAGGATCAGATAGCTGCATTGAGATGGGTGAAGAAGAATATTGCCGCTTTCGGTGGAGATCCAGACAACATAACTCTGTTTGGAGAAAGTGCAGGTGCTGCATCTATTTCTATACTTCTTCTTAACGATGTAACATTAGGATTATTTAACAGAGTTATATTGCAAAGCGGGTCTTCTCTAACAAGTTGGACAACTAATAGGCAAGCAGTCTGGGTAGCCAGTCTTTTAGTAAAATCTTTAGGGCACAATACAGAGGATCCAAACGAGATATACAAAATTCTTCATAAACTTTCTTATAGAGACATAATTAAACTGAAACCAGATAAACCTCTCGGTATGTTCAGCGATGCACCAATGCTTGGTCTACCGTGTGTCGAAAAACCTGGTATACCTGGTAATGAACCAGTATTGGTAGATTTGCCATATAATCTTCTCATGAAAAATCGAAGAAATATATCTGTTATCCACGGCAGTATGACCAGGGAAGGTTTTATTGTAATATCTGGTGAAACAGATATAAGTATTGAAAATTGGAATCAAAAATATCTGTTCCCTTCCGACTTGGCATTTGAGACCGACAATGAAGCGAACAAAACGTCATCTAAAATTAGAGAGTTTTATTTTGGTGAAGACCGCATAAGCCGTAACAATATAATGAAATTGGAAAAAATGTGCACAGAGCTTTATTTTCAGTTCCCGACTACTTTAGAAGCAGATATTATGGTATCTTCTTGGAATGTGCCAGTCTATAGCTACATTTTTAATTATTCTGGAAGCAGGAACATTATTAAGAAAGCTGCCGGTTTCTGTAACGAAACGGGGGCGGGTCATGGTGACGATATTTTATACTTTTTCAAAAGCAGAGTATGGCCATTCTCAGTAGCGAGAAAGGATAGAGAGGTCATCGAATGGCTTACTAGGATGTGGACGAATTTTGCTAAATATGGGTATGTGTATCTTAACAATAATCCTCTATACTTTTAATATAACTGAGGAAATCTTAATCAAAAATGAAATTACGTGTAAAGTCACATAGAATTTAGTATTTTGTTTTTGTATAAATAACTTTCATTATAAAATTATCAGTCATCATGGTTTGATATCATTTAATAATTGAAATATAAAACTTTTTATATTTTAATCTCGTTTATTTACAGATATCCTACTCCACTGCGGGATTCTCGAGTTCCAGTGAAATGGCCGCCAGGTGAAAAGGACGCTCTAAAATATTTGTACATCGATGATGTGTTTCGAATAGGACCAATGCCCAATCCAGACTCGTACGTCTTATGGAAAGAAATATATGATAAATATAGGCGAATGGACTTAAATTATTATTATTGATTATAAAAGTATTTCTTTCTCTGTCTGCACCCCACTCAAAATTAGACTTTTTTATTCTCCATTTGTTTCTCCCTACATTCAACTTCTCGCAGTTTCACTTTTATTTCCATTCTTTTCATTATATCTGTCTAGTTCTTAAAATATTGCCGGTAAAGTCTAAGAGAGCGTATCAATAAACAGCAAATTATTGTGAAAAAAAAAATTTTATTAAGTACAGTTAAACCAAAAAGGAATTATATATTTTTCTCAACAAATGAAAATTACAAAATTTGCCTTATATTGATATTAAACGTTTTTTTGATTCAATATTTAAAATATATAAACTGTGACTTTGTAGCCGAGGGCTGATAATTATTTTTAAGTCTATTAACTCTCCTGCCGTGTGGTTTATATTAATATTTGTTGTTATTTGGTTTATGTATGTACACAAGAAGAAGATAAAAGAGTTTAGGTTGGATTTAGAGGTAGATACTGTGGTAAATGAACTGACAAAAACTCGTCAGCTATACGAATTTTAGTCGTCGGTCGCAGCTGAGAATTACTTCGTACCTTGCTTATGCGTCCGAAGCAATATTCACAGTACCGCAAAAATAATATAATTACTCTACTGTGGTAATATACAGTTATCATCAGATGACTTAACAGTTTTTTCAACAGTCAGTTGTTTCATACGGTATTGTCCTGTACGTTTGAATGTGTGCCTACTTCTATAGTACCGCACTAAAGCACCACCAACGACCGTGCATAGTTAATACGTATTAACGGTACTATATATAAAGTCTGAATCAATTAGTAATCATTAAAACGCACAATAAAACTAAAGGGAAATACCGTATGATCAAGCGGTAACTCTTCCTATTCCTGAAGTCAACTGTTCTGGTCTCCTCTATTTATTATAGAAGTGTTACATATATTTCATACCTATATTGACTGTGAGATGTTCGTTTTTTTTTTGGAGAGGAGAATGGGCAGAAGTCGGCTAAATTTCCGCAAATTGCGCACTATGCATTTATATATCAAAAATCTTATTTTTAATTATAATTTATTCTATATAAATACTATTTTAAAAATATGTTTAAAATTAACCGTATTGAAACAGTTGCTAAATTGACCAATTTAGACTTATGATATAAACCTTCGATAAATGTCAACCGTGCAACAGTAGATTCGATAAGGCTGATCGCCTTATCGATTATATAAAACTAAGGGATTAATCTACATATCGAAAAAAATATTATCTAAGATACGACTTCTTTCGTGTAGTATCTTTTCTTAGTCTGTGCTTCCTTCGGTTTTCTTTTGAGCATGAACAAAGGTATGTACGCTATTTCATAGTAAATGAACCCACGCTCGGCCAAGTTAACGTTCGTCACTAATCCCAAATAATAGATTTCGTTTATTCGTATATAAGGATAAGGATAAGTTTTCATGGAGGAAGAAATATGCGTGTTTAAGCGGTGTTATAAATATATAGGATTCCATTAGATAAATACCTAAATATCTTAAATTGAGATTGCTAGTGACATTCGTTATAATGTTTTCTTTAGCGGCGAGTATATACCTACCTACTACAATACAACTACGACTACCTACTAAGTTTCAAGTTGTAAATCGACTTGACATGCGAACTTCCTACCACTACTTTTAGATAGTAAAGTATTTTAACTCTGTTAATGTTAGTCAGGTATTATATTAGCCAAAGACTAGTTTTTAATCGGCCCAGTTCTTTTTGAGTTTATCCTTTATAATAAAAATCCAATATTTCCTTTTTATAATATAGGTATAGATATGTTCTTTTCCGCAATTAATAATTTATATCCGTTAGTCATCGATTGTTTGAAATACGTTATTCATTTTATTGCTCTTATATACGTAGATATTATAACGACATGACCTCAAAATCTCTGTTATATATTCAGATATTCTCAAACTCCGGCATAATATTATAATGGCCTTTTTTCCTAATCATTCTAGAAATAATTATCTATCGTTTACCGTTGGTTTCAACAATGGGTAAATAACGCCTAAAAAAATTCTTATCATATTTGTCTTAATTATTCAATTGTCGAGAGAAGGTGATCATCGATACTTTTAATTTTATTAGAATGGTGACACTGACTTTGACAGTTCGTTAACGAAAAGCAAGTTGTAAAGACATCCGACGACATCACGCTCATCTCATTATATTTTCTTATGAAAAGTGATAAAATGGAATAAATCCACATTGGTATACACGCCTGCAGTGTGATTTTAAAGATAGTCCTCCGATATAGACGATCTATTTGGGATTCGTAATAGCTCCTTCTGAGTACCCGCCAACATATTAAATATATCTAAATATAAAATAATTAAGTGATCTTATTCCATACTCACGCGCTTCACGTCCTAACTATAAATCAGAAATGTGCATGAAATATTTAAGATTCTTGCTACAGTTTCTAACTAACACTAAAATTCACTACTTACATAATTTCAAGGTGTTGCCGTCTATGGAGAACTAAGTTCAATTTCCTGTTAAATTAATGAAGAGAACGAACTTTTTATATTATTTTGCATCTATATGTAGATGTTGTGCTACTTCAATTGAATCAGATTTCCATTTGCAATAAACTTGACTACATTTTTTTTATTTAAAATGTTGTTATTTAAAGTTTGAAATGCAGCTGAGATTGAAACACATATAAGCTCGAGACAATAAGTCATTCCTCTTATAAGATCGATCCTTGCGGATATTGCTTATTCTCTACACTGCAAACTGAACATGCTTAACATTGCACTATAGAGTTCCTAAACAGTACGTTGTCTTATATTTATTTATTCAAGTTTTAAGACCAAATCATAATACCCACGTGAAAAGTAAATCAAAGTTCCACAGATGGATCAAAGCGATTCGCCAATTCTACCAGCTTACAGTACACGTGATAAATATTAACAAACCATTATACTGACCCAGTGCAGAAAGGTATTGAAAGCGGATTTCGGCTTCGTAGTATTTTGCCTTCAGTTCTAATTGATTGTGTGTGTTAAGATCGCGTCAGATCGCGAAGACTGAAACAATTTAATAAAATGGGCCTGACCAAAACGACATAATTGACTGTATATTAATAACGCAGTTCAGTTAGCAACTGATCCATGGCGGTGCAAACATCTCGCGTACCAATCGCACCAAAACTGTATATTCATATTTGTGCACCCTTTTGTTATCCATGACGTCATTAAATTGAGTAATAAATAATAATTACGCTATATAATCCTTTATAGGAATGATTTTAATATGGTTAAACTTCGGTTATCTTTTCCAACCAAATCTATTCAATATTCTTAGAATAATTTATACGAAAGATAAATTATTCAAATATTTTAAGAAAAGAAAGAAACGATTCTAAAACTTTAACTAATACAATTACTTGTTTAAACTTCTTATACAACAAATTTCTAATGGATTATTTTGGATTTCTTACAGTATTGCAGATACTTTTGATGTAGAGGTAGATATAAAATAACATTCTAGAAAATACCACAGAACTTTTATAATGTTCCGAGTGGACTCACGCATGCAACACACGTCGAGTCGATAACTCAAGCCTCGCGTAAAATATTTAACTCTCACTCAATGGAGATTGCACGGCACAAGTAAAATGTATCAGGAGAAGCCTACATTACCCTTCGTGTATTATAAATCTTATATTTTGCATGTTTATTTCTTCGATACTCAACTGAGAGCAAAACATGCACATAGAGACGCTTCTGATCATATGAAAAAGTATAATATTGTGTATTACCTGTTTTACCTATAACATGCACTAACCGAAGTCATACGTACAAAAACGAGGTTTTATTCTAAAAATAAAAGGTTTGATAAATGTTGTTAGGTCTTCTTTTTATTAAATACTTACATGTGTGTGAGTGCTTTCATACATTTTTAATTACAGTAAAAAAAAACCTAATGTAACGATTAAAAAAATACCAGGTGTAACAATTTTTTTATTGATTTTTAATTATATCAAACATATTTTTGTATATTTTTTTTAAATAGTTAAGATGAAATATGTTAGTCGTAAAATCGATCCAAAAAACCTATTTAGATTAGTTTTTTTTCTATCGATCCAATTATTAAAATTTAGTAGCAAACAAGTTTTCCATAAAAATAACTTTTATTTGGCAAATATAAGCGTTGCCTAACAATTAAATTGGTTTAAAAAGTGGTTATTTCGTACAACCTCACCCCGAGTAATTTTGGAACGAGTAAGTTGTAGCACGGACGAATCTTACGGACAGACTGACTCTTGAAAGTAATTCTAAGGCCCCGTCTTTTTCCTATCCAGGTAAGGAATTCTAAAAGACATTAAGAACTAATTTAAAACATTATAATTAATTATGTAACCATTAATAATTAATTTTACAGGGGCAACAATAAATTTTACAAAGCAATCTTATGAATTGGCTTAAAGTTGGCGATAAATAAACGCACACCGGTCCCCGGGTTATCTTTTCGAACTGAACGCAGCGGTGTTGTTAAGAAGTATCGTAAATTCAATTTTATTCGCTTGATACTTACAAAATTAAGCAATACTGGAAGCCACCAGGGGACGTAATGAAAACATGGGGAAGAGATAAGACCCTTCCCTTATATCCACCACGCTAACTTTAACAAAAGAATCAACCGATTAATTGGGATTAATTTAAAAATAATTTGAAATCTTGTTAGAGCTGTGGTTCGCGTTCGGTCTGCGATTGCGGAGGCTCTGTAACTGTTATATAGATCGAACATGTGACTGGTGACCGAAAATTTATTGATAGAAATGATTGAAAATTCGTGGTTTCAGGTAAATCGGTGGTTAGATCACTCGCCTGTGGATTATTTTAAGCATTTTATATATTTTATGGCTGCATAAAAAAGGTGCTGTACTGTGAGTATTGAGTTAATGTATCTATGTGTATGAATTTCTTTATTCCACCTGCACTTTTGAGATTCTTAACGGTAATTACTATTTATGGTA